CCCCGGGCTGCAGGTGGGCATCTGCTCCCCTGCTCCCCTCCCTGGGCTGGGGGGGGACAGCCTGCCGTCTCACCACAGGCTGCAGGGGCATCCCCTCCTCCCCCGCTCCTCCTCCTCTCCTTCCTCACTGACCTGGTGTCTGCAGAGGGGTTTCTCTCACATTCCAATCCCCTACTCACCGCAGGTTCCCCTTCTTAAATCTGTTCTCTCAGAGGCGCTACCGCCGTCACTGATGGGCTCGGCCTGGGCCGGAGGTGGGTCTGACTTGGAGCTGGGGAAGCTTCTAGCGGGTTCTCCCAGGAGCCACTCCTGTGGCCCCCTCCCCCGCTACCAAAATCCCGCCACACAAACCTAATACAGGACCTCAGAACTGGATGCAGTACTCCAGGTGGGCTCTCACATGAGCAGAGGGGAAAAATCACCTCCCTCGAAATGCTGGCCATGCTTCTTTTTGCACAGCCCAGGATATGGTTGGCTTTCTGGGCTGCAAGCACATGTTGCCGGCTCATGTCCAAGTTTTTCATCCACCAGTCCCTCAAGTCCTTCTCTGCAGGACTGCTTTCAGAACATTCATTTCTCATCATCTTCAGAAGGTCTGACGGATCTCATTTGCTTTGGAAGTGAATATTGAAGTGTTCTGGTAACAGGCCAAAAGTTTTTTCTTGTGTTTAGAAATAAGTGATAAGTAATTGTTGCATTCAGATAGTTACAAAATCCATACATATAGTGTATAACTCACTTTCAGTGCTTTATTAATGTTGTGGTCTAACCCCAGCCAGCAACTAAGCACCATGCAGCTGCTTACTCACCTCCCTCACAGTGGGATGGGGGAGAGAATCAGAAGGGTAATAGTGAGAAAACTCGTGGGCTGAGATAAAGACAGTTTAATAGGTAAAGCAAAAGCCGTGTGTGCAAACAAAGCAAAAGAAGGAATTCATTCCCCACCTCCTATCAGCAGGCCGGTGTTCAGCCATCTCCAGGAAAGCAGGGCTCCATTATGCGTAATAGTTACTTGGGAAGACAAATGTCCCTCCCTTCCTTCTTCTTCCCCCAGCTTTATATGCTGAGCATGACGTCCTATGGTCTGGAATACCCCTTTGGCCAGTTTGGGTCAGCTGCCCTGGCTGTGTCCTCTCCCAGCTTCTTATGCCCCTCCAGCCTTCTTGCTGGCTGGGCATGAGAAGCTGAAAAATCCTTGACTTAGTCTAAACACTACTTGGCAACAACTGAAAACATCAGTGTTATCAACATTCTTCTCTTACTGAATGCAAAACATAACACTATACCAGCTACTAGGAAGAAAATTAAGTCTATCCCAGCTGAAACCAGGACAACTAACTAAGATGCTTTATTCCACAATAAAAGAAAACTAAAAATCTTTGTCTCCATATAGATGCCTATGATGTAAATAAATATGTGTGTGTGTCTAATGAGCCTGGCAAAGAAACAAAGAAAGCTCATCCTTCACTTTATAAAATGAAATTCAGGGGAAAATTTCCAGCTTGATTACATCAGCTATGTATGAATTTTGAGGCTTGGTGAATTCACAGGTCATTTGGTGATTTTTTTTAGAAGTGTCACAAAACAAAAACCAAACAAATATGGTCAAAAAACAAAAAACAAAAACCAACCCTATAAGATTTTTCCTTAGAAAATGTGTTTAGTCCCTGAGGGTTTAGATCCTGAGAAACTCACCAAATCTAATTTGAGTTGGATCAAATCCTTAATTAGCAATTAAGCAAAGAAGCTCATGATAACAATAACTCTGTCATGCATTTATAGTTCTATAGGCTAATGTATTTACACCAATATTCATCAGAACCAACAAAGTATTTCAGCATACTTCTAGCTGGAGAAATTGTATTTTCATAGTGTCTATAAGATACCATGTGGCATACTTTATTATTACGTATAATAAAGTTTATACACACACACACACTGAAGTTCATGTTCTTCTCTAATTATTTGTACAGATGAACAAATCCCACTCTTGGCACATATCCATGTTATGTGCAAGAGAGAAGATTAAGGCGACAAAGATCCTTAGTTTAATCCTGGTATCTCTTCATTCAACCCCAAGGCACCCAATCCTAACAATTTCTGCTGCAGTTTGCAGCTTAGAATCTGCTCATTGATAACTTTTACACCTCAGTAGTGTTAAAAAGTTCTGCTCTCCAGAACACTGTGCCCTCATTCTAGGAGTGGAATTGGTATGGCCAGAACATTTTCTGGAAATATAGCTATAAAAGAGCAAATAATTGTTTTGAGTCCCCTGAAAACCATTTCCTCCTCAGTGAGGAGATATAATGAGATACAAGGCTATTGCTTGATAACCTTATTAAGCTGAACCTGGAGAAACCACTTATCCAGTTAGTTTAATTCTTATTTATATAACACAGGAGAAGTAGGTAGTTTCATTAGGACTTTGTCTAGAATAAGGGATATCCAGTGTTTGATACTGTGTTCTTCAGAAATCTTTGACAAATCTTTGTTCTCATCCAGGTTGCATCAGTGCACACCTGTACCGCACAACAGATAGCAATGGAAAAGAGAATGATGTAAATGGTTCAAGTTTACTGTCTGCTTTGTATGATTTAGCACTGTCCACAAAAGGTGCTACTTACTTCTTCATGGCTGGCATTTTGGGGAAGCAATGAATTTTGCTTCTGCCTGCTTCTGTAAGGCACTGAAATGTATGTTGCTTGTTTTCTTCTTTGCCTCACATAGAGAACATATATCTAGGTCTGATCAAAAAGATTTTGTGAAAGAAAAATGAGTTTTAAAGTAAAGTGTCAACTGAATAGCTAATACATTCTGCAGATTTCATTTTCCATAAAACAGTCAGCAATTCCTGAAAATAAAGAAATTGTAGACTGCTCATCGTTTGAGGCAGTGGTCACCAGTTTAAGAGCATGGTCTGTGTAATGCTTTCCTCTTTTAAATGCTGCTTTGTTGACCATCTTGGAAAACATATTTGCTGCAGATAATAACACCTTATCAGGTCCTTATCACCTGGTATTTTCATCAAAGAAAGCTTGCACAAGTAATACTCACGCAAGTCAGAGCAACTGCGAAAAAGCTTTTTTTACAGAATTACACCTAACTGCCTATTCTTAAGATTCTAGGTAATCAATTTTATTATTATTATTATTATTATTAGTAGTAGTAGTAGTATTTTAAAACACATCTTACTAAATGTCCCTACTTGCAACAGTTTTTACTGAAGTAGCTGGATTCACTAAAGGACAGCAATATGCCACCACTTTAGTGAGTGAAAAAGTTTAGTTTAGAGACATGTATTTTACAATTTATTTTTTCCCAGTAGTTACTTAATAAGTAATTGAAATTAGTTATTTGATATGTAACATTGTAGCTCAAGGAAAATATATCTTATTCTTCTAGAGGAAAACATATTCAGAGATAGTTGCTTTTCTCTCTTGTCCCCTGTGGATCAAGGAGACTTTTGTTTTGTATTTTTGTCTATATAGGTATGTTCAGTATATTCAGATATATGCATAATACACATATAGAAAGATACATAGATATGGTCTTTTGAGGATGTTTACACTTGTGCTGAACAATGTATGTTCAATTTACCACACTGAATATGCATTAAATTCATAAGATGTCCTAGATATTTTAAATTGCTAGGAAAACATTATGATTTGTTACCTGTTTTAAAAATGTTAATACTTCTAGTGATGGAATTACTGCATTTCTTAGATGTCTAGAATTCAAGATAATTCTGTGCATTAGTTGCTCTATTTGGGGAGTATCAATCTCCTACTGAAAAGAAATAAACTAAAACATGCCAAGCACTCCCATGGTCTTTCCCTCACCCATCCATACCACTGAGATGATCTCACAAAAGTCTGATGACACATGCACTTGACTTTACATAGACATGTACATCCATCAGATGTAATGGGTTTGCATTCATGCATGAAATTAAAAACCTGCACAGAGCTTTGCAAGACTTAAACCTAAAAGATCTGTCCTTTAGCAATGTTGGTCATGATTCTTACTCTTTTCACCTGTGAGATTATACCATCTTTGTGTTAGACTAGCGCTCTCCATAGCCAAAATCAGCATCAGTCAAATAGGATTATTAGTTCTGAGAATCTCTTTTCTGCCCTATGACTAACTGTCTTCACACTGATCAGCTCATGGAAACTTCCCTCACTCTGTACCAGATTCTCTTCAACTATTTATGAAGAATTGTTACCAAAGAAATGCTCTTCATCTTTGTAATACCTACAGCTGTGGAGATTATTCCTGTAATTAATGTGTCATTAAGCCATTGAAAAACTTTAAATATGATTACCAACAATTGGTTTCAATTATGTTTTAATACAGTTTTCCTAGCTTGTATTTAGTCACTGTCTCTCAGAGAAAAACTGCATGTTATTTCTAGTAATTCTGCTTGCAGATATACATGTTACAGTATTTAATATATATTTGCCAAATGCTTTTAAAATATCAACTAATTCTGTAAGAATGGTAAGTTTGTATTTTTCATGAATGAGGAATTTGAACTGCCAACACAACAAGCAAAATGTATGAGGTATGACAGTGGATTCATGTCAGAGTTAAAATAACAACTCACTAGTTTCTAGCTTGATACTCAACTGAAGCTTTTGCAAGTTTTTCAGATCTCTCTGCTCACAATTAAAAGCAGAAGTAATGATACTTTTTAAACACTATGTTTTGTTGTATGTCCTTTATTACAGGAAAATCGATGGTACCTGTAAGAATACATTATAAAAAGCTTTGTTAGAATTTATTGAACAGTTTATTTTATCTTTTTAAGGTTTTAATTCAGTTGTCTCCATCTAATTCTGAACACCACAGTCTGTCAGCTTTGAAGCCTTGTTGCATCTTCCTGCAATTGGATTTTTTTTTAATTTGTTCCTTATAGATGTTCTATATTGAAAGTGATGATTGTGAATTACATATAAGAAGTCTGTGTTATTATACCTTTCTCTTTGTTTCATTTTTAGCTCCATGTGGTGGGCATTTTTCATCTCCCAGTGGAGTAATCCTCTCTCCAGGCTGGCCAGGGTATTATAAAGATTCCTTGAATTGTGAGTGGGTGATAGAAGCTGAACCAGGACACTCTATCAAAATTACATTTGAAAGGTCTTGGCTAATGTTTTTCTTATTTAATATTTTCCAGTTTTACCCAGAAGCAGGAGTTTATTAGCTCTGTCATAACATTAATTTGCACTGTGTCTAAAATCAAGCAATTGTTTTATCAGGTAGGATTTTCTAAAACACCTTAGTGCCTTCAGAACATAAATTTTATCTTCAGTGTAATTTCTACTTTGATGTGCTGAAAAGCTTTTGAAATTCCTACCCTCTTGCATATATCTAAGCCTGTCTGGCCCAGGTAAAAATTCTGTCTGTTTTTAAAGATTAGCATGTTTCATTTGCTCATAATCGTGATATGAATTATACTTATGAAGTATTTTTTTTCTCTCAAACCTGTGAAATCTTCAACTCTCAAAATCTGAATCAACTGTGAAAACTGAATTAAATGCACTCATATTTTTATCCAACATGAATCTTTAATTATCAAATCAGCTGATCTGTTTTTGTGAAAGGACTGTGTGCTCTCAGGATGGAATTCCAGTTTCCCCAAATTACTGCAGCATTCCACTTTTCCTACATTACTGCCTGTTACTTAGGTCCCTTCTGATTCCAAGGATTGAAATGTGCTGAGGACCTTAAATTTTTCATGGTAGCAAGACACGGGCATTTCATATAAGCTCTTTATGAGAAAGCAAAACAGAAAATATATTTTTAAAAAATGCTACATTCTACATATTTTCAAGGAAGTTTTAGATTCTTTTTAATTGTAAATATTATAAAGATAGATGATGATCCAAGAAAAAAGGGCCTTTGATGATCAAAGTTATAGCGCACAAATATCATGCAAGTACTTTTCAGTTGCTATTTATGCAGCATATTTTGACTACTCCTGGTCACCCTCAACTTAGAAGGTATTGCTTCATTTTAGTACAATTCAAAAGTTGTTTTTAGCAGAATATGAAAATTACCATCTTTTCTTGGCAAAATTTCTCATTGTGATAAGATTGTTTAAAACTTTTTTCTAGTACTATAGCTTACACTATAATAAAGTGTTCACATGCCATTATATACAATCAGAGGACAGGTAATATGGACACTTCAAAGTTATTTCGTATCCTTAACATCAAATGAAAGCTAGTCTTCCAAAATCAGTAGTGCTGTACATCAGCTTAAAATGAAGCTGTACCAAATTTTTGCTATTTAAAATGCAAAAGAGAAGTGAATAACTCCCTCTTGCAGAAATTAATCAAACTCATATTAGTTCAAAATTAAAAGAAAATTATTAGTTTTCTTTATTGTCTTGTAAAGCAAAATGAAAAAGAACAATTTTGGAACTTTCACTAACTCACGTTTTTGAAAAGAAAAATATAATTTCAAATAATTTATTTTTAATTCAGCATTTCATTTTCAACTACACATTTCATGTGGACAGTCATTTCAAAGTGAAAAACATTTACCTTTTTATTTGCAGAGTTCTATGCCAGCTGGATTTTCTTCCTTTGCACCCAAGTTTCATTAAATCTGACAATCTCTTGTGTGCAGTTTTTGTTTGTAATGCATTAATGCCTTGTGATAAAATTGCACAACCCCTATTACTCTTGTAGCTAAGAGCAATAAGAACAAAATGTGGTCTCTTCAGATCACAGAGAGTGCCTATCCTCTTTATAACCTGATCTCATTATGACATTATGACACTTCTTTTTCCATTGCTGCTCATTTTTGACACTCCTATCGCTTGCCATAATTGGACTGATATGCATATTGCTTAGATGCAGCAATCCAGAAAGGCCCTACTTACATAAAGGTGTGTGTATGCTTATGTGTTTCTGTGAAGGAGTACATGTAAAAATATATCCATATATGTTCACACAAATGCACTTAGATATGTAATTACATGTTTGTGTGTAAAGAAGTTGTTATTATATAAACCAAATAATGAAATAAATCTTTATAGTGTGCTGAAAGAACACATTTTGTAAACTACTATAATGTTAGGAGGTTTACTTAAACTTTATTATTTTCACATAATTTAAATTTACATTCTGAGGCATTCATACATTAGCTTCTTTTTAAAAACTCATTCTAGTCTGACTGTCCTTGTTCTGCTCCTTCCACTTGCAAATCTTCAGCTGGACTTTCTTAAGACAGAAGGTTAATTTTGTTGAAATATACACTTTTAAAACTCTAGCCAAATGGCTTTCCTATTTAATTAAAAAAAATAAACAAACTTGTATTTTGACCAGTCCTTTACATTTCACCTTTGTCTTGAAAAACAAAGAGAAATACTTTTTCTACCCTTTCTTGATGCAAATACTAAGACTTCCACAATATGTGTAGTTATTTGAAAGATTTTTAATTTCTCAGGGCAAAACATTTACAGTACATGTCTAGAATCTTTACATCCTTTCTTTTTGGATTTCTAAGAAGAAGGGAACAGTTCTTACTAATATATGTTTCCTGCAGAGTGACACCTTAACATTACATCCATTTACCACTTGCACAGTAGTTTATTTCTTTTTAATCTCCCATCTTCCTATCTTCGTATGACTTCTCTCTTATGATGTTGCATATGTGTGAGGTAATGCATTCTATGACTGTACACTAAAGTGTTCCTGTGCCATGGAGCCAGAGGCATAGGTAAAAAGAAAGAGATTTACAGACAAAGCAAATAATAATAACAACTATTATTTTTTGTGCTTTCAGGTGTTTCGTAATAACTTTTTCATATTATGTTTTATGATCATGCATGTATACTTTAAAGAGTTTACTCCTGTTGTACAGGCATAGCTACGATGAGAATCTGTTGGATTTTTGTTATAAATAGTAGCTTATTAGGCTGAATTGAGATGATAGAAGTGAGAAATGCAAGTGCCATTCCTTATTGTAATGAAGTGTTTATCAAGAAGCCTAATTATGAGTATTTAAATGCTAGGGACGTTAATCAGCAAACTGTGACTGGAGTACTAGTCACATTTGACTAATGAGTATACACTGTGCAGCAGGATATTGTACTTATATCCTGACACTGCATTGAGTTGATAGGTTGTCTCTTACAAAGATGCATGTTGTAAATACTAAAGCAGCTTTAGCTGTTCAAATAAGATAAAAAAGCATGTGTCACCTCCTATGTTAAAGTTTGTTTCACTCCTGTCTGCTTGAATGAGTTTTTGTGAGTCCTCCCTAAGAATAGACCTCACATAGCAATGAAGTCATCCAGGTTTAAGAATAGTGACTAGTTAAGTAGGAAAGAATCTTGGAGTGGTCTTACATGAAGCACAAAGTATTTTTTATTCATTTTCCTACAAATTCCTACTGTTTTCTCACACCAGGGAATAACCAGGTGATACGTATATATATCAGATAAGTTGAGCATCAAGAGGAAAGGTATTCAAGGAAAAAATAATATAAGCATCACCCTTATAAATTAAATTTAAATTGATCACTTTTCTGAGCTAAATGACCAAGCAAAGGCATTGTACATAATCCCCCCTTCAAATTTCTTTCAGTTCATCTCACAAAAAAAAAAAGTCCTCACTCTTTTTTTCTTGGGTGCTTACTCATTTTTCTCATCTCCTTATTTTTCTGCTGTTCGTGGTGGTGTATGTAGTCTTTGAGCAACAAGTACTTATGAGAGGATTTCTGTTACGCCTTTGGAGACTCAATTTCATTGTGTCTTGACTGGCCTGAGAGTTGCTTTGCATTTATGGGGTCAATGTTTTTTTACACTTTCTGTCTCCAGTATGCTTTTGATAAAGCAACCAAGAAAGCAGAGCAAGCCTAAATGATCTCTTTGCAAGATTGCTTCTGTTTTTTATGGATTAGTGGGAAAAACAAGTACTGGAAAAAAACAAGTTAATGCCTAGTAGCTTTTTAGCAACATATGAGTTCATGTGGAAACTAGCAAAAAAAAAGAAATTTTCAGTTCTGCTTCTAGGCTTATCCTGCTTCATTTCCATAACTCTCTACTACTTTATTTCTGTGCTCTTTTCTATGTTGTTTAATAGGAGTGGGACATGGATGAAAGAAAACACATGTTTTGGAGGTTTAATTTGGCTTCTCATCTTTCACCAGATACCTTTAGATCTTTAGGCTCAGACTCATGGGACATAAATACTGAAATACAAAGCTCCTCAGTACATTGGCATTAGTCATGTATTCATGCCTTGAATGGATTTCACAAAGCTGAATTGGGCATCTAAGTGAATCAGAGAGAGAATTAGGAACATCTGAAGAGTCCTTGTAGGATCCTGCTGTTAATTGTTTCTTTTTAATTCTGAAAGAGTTTTTCAATAATCCATCAGAAAGTCCATTAAAGCAGTATGATTAATGTAAGGTCTGTCATGGCAAAAGAGAGAGAAACTACTGTCAAAATACCAAACTGGTGTTTGGGATTGCTGATACCATCTAAAACAAGGAAAGCAAAGAGATATCTAGCAGTATTGTCACACTGAGCTTTTCCTTGACAGAGACAGCACACATGCAGTCTCTAAACAGGCATTTTGCTTTATAGTGCTTTCTAAATAGGACTTCTAATTTTTTTTTACGATAACTTCTGCCACCACTTTAGACTGAGCCTCAACTGGCACAAAGCCACTGGAGTCTCAGAGCATACATAAGTAATTCTATCACTGCTTATAGATGATGTTAAGGGTAGACACTCAGAGTATGATTCTTTGATAATATAAAGTACTTTGATGATATTTGTGCCAAGTGGAATGGATATAATAAAAGAATGCATCAACATATCCTCTTAAATTACTTAATTTTTCCAAAAAGAATAATAATTTTGTGCTATAAAACAGTATATGCAAGTAATATTAATCTTTGCTAACAAACTGTGTTTCTGGCTTTTGTTTCCTGCAATACAAACCAGCTCAAGGAGTTTAAACATACTGCTCATCTTACTAAGGCACTAACCTGAAATTCGATTATTGTATTAATTATATAGGATAATTAGTACTATTATACTGATACTGTAAAATAGATGTATGCAGAAATAATTAAAAGATTATGACCAGGAAAGGAGCATAGTTTTCAAATATGGCTTACTTTATATGGGTTTATTGAATTTGTTTTAAACGCTTCTTATATTTGTGCCTCTGTGTGTTTCCTCAATTCCAGATTTCAGACAGAACTCAATTATGATGTGTTGGAAGTTCATGATGGACCAAACTTATTATCTCCACTTTTGGGATCTTATAATGGTACACAGGTCCCACAATTCCTGTTTAGCAGTAGCAATTTCATTTATCTTCTCTTTACAACTGACAACAGTCGTTCTAACAATGGATTCAAGATTCACTATGAAAGTAAGTCATTCTGAATTGTATTATTTGATTTCCCCATCAGTCATAAATATATAAAGGTGCAAAGGTGTCATCTTTGGTAAATTTCTGTTATTTCTCAAACTGAGAAAGATTTAGTGGTGTTAAACTGGAAAACAGATGCCCAGTAATTTCACTTAACAATTTAATGTCATTCCTGTACTGCTCCATGCTTTAAGAATCAGAAAATGGGAATGGGAAGCAAATGCCTTTCTTCTGGATGTTGCTTTTATGTCATGTTATTCTTATCTTCTGTACAATGCATTTTTTGTGTGTGTAAAACTGCACGAGATCAGGAAGATTATGAAAATCTAAGCAAATACCTAAATTACTGTCCTGACTGATGTACCTGCAGCTCTAACTGAAGGTAATAGGATATGCAGGTTACATTAATGAGCTGAAAGTCAAGCTATGGAATTGCTTGCTTATGGATTTTTAGGGATCTAAAAACCTGCATATGTGATTTGTTCTGACATATAGAAGTATTCTTTTCCCCTTACTATAGTCATATAAACTACACAGCACAAAGCATCTGTTAGATTTCATACTTTACGAATTCTTAGAATTCATATAGGTTGATATATTCTCATGTCATTTACATTTTGTGTTTCTAAATATACCTTTTCTTGTAATAAGTAATATTCTCATGTGAAATAATATTTTTCTGTAATCACTGTCTAATTTGCTTAATAAAGGTCATGAGCACATTGTTATCTATCCATTTCTGTTTCATACTCCTCTTTGTTGGAACTACCACCAAGCAATTTTCAGATGTTCTTAATTTTTTACTTTATTTTTGACCATGTTCACTATTCCTGACCACTAATGATAAAGATATTAAATACAATCTATGTGGAGGTGACTTTGCCAGATAAAATTTGGGCTGATTTGAACTCCAGTGAATGTCAAGTTCTGGCTGTTTATCAAAAAAATTCTATTATTATTCCAAAATTCTTTACTGTCCTAGCCTTCACCCACATACTTCCATTTGTCTCATCTTCTACATTGTGAAGAAGTGATGATTTTGTTAAGTTCTCACCCATTCTGAGGTTTGAAGGATGGCTATCCTTACACATCAGGAAAACTAGATTAATATTGCCAGCAGAGACCAGTAAATTCTTAAAATGATTGGCTAAATGAATAATGTTAAATGGTAGAAATTACACTTTGGGAATGTGAACAGCAAAAAGAGGAAAGCTGCACTTATTACAAATACCCTTATATCAAATTATTTCAATTAAATAAAGTTGGAAAGGAAATCTGAAATTTCATTATAAATGAATTCTTCAATTTCATTATAAAATCCCTTTTTTTTCTAAAATTGATCCTCACCCCACAGTTCTGTCTACACTAGTGAAGAATGAAATTTAGACTTGTACTACCAGAGAACATTGAAAATAAACATCTTTACCATTTTTACACAAAATCAACCATTTTCAGTAGTTGCTTTTCTGCTTAACATCGTCTGTTTATAGATAGACATCTAGTATTAATTTTATTTTTGTTTAATTCTTACTGGTTCATCGTCTGATATTATCCAGCACAACCCAATTCTGATTTCCCTTTTCTGGATAATAATAATAATGATTAATGGTCCTCTATTCAACACTTCTCTCTTTAAATATCCTATTGAAAGCTGAAGTCTTTTATATGTTTTCTTATTTTCTGTGCTAATTATTTCTTTCCACACTGAATTTCTTTGTAAGGAAGGATATTTTATGGCTTTTGTGTAGGAATAAAGGAATAACACCCACAAAAAATCTTACATTGAATATTTCTTCTAATTTGCTAACTTCAGTAATGTTCCTAGAGTTTTTTATTATTTCTTTCTTTGTTTTTCCCTGATGCTTTTATAATGAAGTTACACTTCTCACTGGGAAATAATCTAAAAGGTTTAATTTTTTTAGCACACATTAAAATTCTCTTTATCAAGTCAAATTCTCTTTATTACTTTTTCTGCTATTCTTTATCTTCTAAGTATCTCACATATCAAATAACATTAGGTATGAGAATTATTTATGTAAATAATTGATCTGTGTAAATATTTCAAGAATAAATTTAAAAAGAAATAAAAAGCATTTTAGCTAGGATAACAAAGTTTGATCAGGAAAAAAATAAAGGCTGGAAATCAGAATTTTGAGTGATCATCAAGGCTTTTCAACATCAGCATCAGGGACAAAATCACTTAATGTTACTGAGATAGGATCAAACTAAATATCCTGTAAATTATGTGTTTTTCTCTCCAACAGTGGCAGGATGCAATTCATTATCCATAACATCTTATAACAGTAACACAGAGAAACATAATGCAAGGATAATTCACCGAAAATTTGTGATAATGAAGCCTTCACCCCCACTCACAGCACAGTGAATTACTTAAATTAATAAAAAACATTCTATAGGTTGTTTATTTAACGATTTTGTTTGTTTGTGTTTGGTTGGTTTTTTGTTTTTTTCTCATCTAGGTGTAACTGTTAATACTTACTCTTGCTTGGATCCTGGCATACCAGTGCATGGACGTCGTTATGGACATGACTTCTCTATAGGTTCCACCGTCTCATTTAGTTGTGATCCGGGTTATAGGCTGAGTCATGAGGAGCCTTTGCTATGTGAAAAAAATCACTGGTGGAGTCACCCACTCCCAACTTGTGATGGTAAGGATGAATGGATAAAATACAGAGTACCTTAAAATATACACATTTTGCCGAACTATTGTTAGCCAAAATGAGTTAAATGTTGGAGCTTGTAAAACCTCTATTTTTAGGAAAAAAAGAATAGTTAGAGGAAATAAATGTTATATACTTCTGTTTGATGAAATATTTAGTAATAAAAGTAGAGAATAATATATAATTCTTTAAATCAGCAGATTATTGAAGATAGGTCTATCTGAATATATGTTAACATGAACTGATTGCCAGTTAGCTCAAAGCATGCAAGATTAATGTATATCTGCTTGGAAAGCACTTATTACAAGCTACAAATGTTTGTGTTTGGGAATCCATCTAGGGACACAGGTGTGCTGACATACAAAACATGACATGAGGTTTATTTATACCTGACTCAAAAACTGCATTTTCTCCTGTTTCATGTTGATCACTGCATTCCTAGCTTGTTAACAGAACTTGACAACCTGCAATCACTGTAGGAATTGATTAGGGCCAAATTATACCTGATGATTAAGTGTATGATTGGTAAACCAGACAAAAGTGGTATCGAGTAACATGTCATACCTTTTGGAGCCTCCACCATATCATTAACAAAGTCTGCTTGAAAAATTGTCTAATAGTTTCAGTCATCTCTTGTTACCTAAATTTTTCATTTTAATCCATTTTCCCAGTTAGGGTGATATCAGTTATATTTAATATTAAGAAAGTATGTTGTAATGTTTATTAACTTGTGTATTTGAGATGTTTTCCTCTCTTTTTTTTTTTTTTCCTTTGAGCATGGTACATGCTTTTCTGGTGATAAAAATGTTATCAGGAATACTGCACTCACTTAATTCTAGAGTAGTATTTAATACTGAACTTACATGAGCTACATAATGCACATGATAGTATATTTTTCTAAAATAGTTCTTAGTATCTCAGGACACTAAGTTAGAAAGAAAAAGCTGAATTTGAATGAAGACTAACAAAAAAGCTCACTGAATCGTGTGATTTGCCATCTGGAAATATAGTCATTTTCAACTGTATTTCTTTCTTTTAAAAAATGGTAGGGGTTTTCTCAGCCTTCAGCTTATTTATTTAGCAAATGCTTTGGTTTTTATATTTCAGTAGGTTGAACATATCAGTATATGATGATACTCAAAATTTGTGGTGGTAGAAAGGGGGGTGAATAATCACTTTCCTGAAAATGGGACTCTGTAGTTCAGCAAGCCTGTTTCCTAAGGGATTCTGCTTCTCAGCCAGGTTCTTGCAATGAAGAATTGCAGGGTTCCCACAGTTCACAGTCAAGGGGACTATATTTTGCTGAGTAGGCCGTAAACATAAGATACGTTTTCTTACGGTGATAGGTACTAGATGGTAACCATCTAAAACAAACAGTACTAACACACTCCCTGTGAATACTGTCCTCTGCTGTGAAATAAAATTTCCTATTGTGATAACTTTCTTCCTCCAACTAGTATGCAATTCATTAAGTAAATGAGATTTTTTTTTTTCCAGAGCACATTGCTAAATGGCAATTGTCCATTGAATAAATATGCTCTAAAAGCAGGTTTGAGTACATTTATTCTAGTAAATTTAATAAATTCATGGTTGAACTGATTTTAATTTGATTGCTGAATTTCTTCTCTGGTGGAATGTTTTTAAATAGGATTCAGAGTGCTTGCACCCCCAGGGAAAAAAAGAACATTTGCTAAATGGGCTGTTGTTTGCATAAACTGCAAGTATGGGTTTGTATTAATCATGCCACTAATAAACACATTGGTCACTGTTCATTCAATACTCTGACATTTTCTGAGGAGCAGAGTTCTTTCTTGATTGTTCTTTTTAATAATGCATCTCTTTTTTATAATTACATCATGTAGTGATATGCAGACAGACAGTGCTAATTGTGCAGGCAGACCATGACAACTTGTGAGTGTAAGTGTTTTGGTGGAGGAGAAGGGTGTAGAAAATGAAAAAAGTTTAGACTTCTTAGAACCAGTTCTTCCTCAAAGCAGAAGATTGTGTTGACTGCAATTCTATTCTTTGAAGGAGTATCAGCTGATTTTTTTCATGAGGTGTTTGGATGTTACACAGATAAGCATCACAAAAAGCTTATCAGGGAAGTCACACTTCATTATCTACAGGAACATTTAGACAATACTGAGAATGATGTTTTAAAAATGAACAAGCAAACTGTTTCCTTCCCTAAAGCCTGGCCTGAGGGGGTGATTATGACAGGCTGTATAATTCATTCATATTTAAGTAATTGATATGCATGAAGGATTTCACAGGTAATTTCCTTAGTTTTGATTTTTATGTGTATCTATACGGATAAGGTGTGCACGCTGTTCCTCAGTGCACATATGTATTCTCTGTGTGTGTGTACACATACAAACACAAACGCAGCTTTATATATGCAGAAATATAGCAAAGCACTTCTGGGAAAAAAAATAAATTAGAGCTCTCTGACCTTTAAGGATAGTAGAATATATTTCTGTTCTTTAAAGATAAATATTTAAGGAAGATATTTTCAGAACCATAGAACAGTTATAGCTGAAAGGAACCTCAGAATGTCATCTAGTCAAAACCCATACCCCAAAAAGAGGGTCCAGTCTGGATGTTAGATCAGGTTGTTCAGGATCCTACACAGCTGAGTTATATCTCCAAGGAGGGAGATTCCAGTTCTTCTCTGAGTAAGAACTGCCATTGTTTGGCCACACAATAGGTATTCTTAACATCTACAGAGAACTTCCCATCTTCCGGTTACAGCCATTACCTCTCATCCTTTCACTGTGGTGAAAGCTACTTGAATTTATACAGTACTTGAATTGCTTTACAGTTTTCAAGACAGCAACTCCACTATGTTAAAATAAGTTATATAACCATAGATTTAAGGCTTCTTCAAAGAATGAAAAGTAAAACCTATGATCTTTATCAAACCATCAGTCTCTTTTCAAGAAATGAATTAGTCTGTAGACTGTTACGAAGATACGTTAAAAATCCTTCAGTGTTGTTCAGTATGACCAATTTCTGGATACCTGTCTTGGCAAAATACTTTTTTATTTCTTTTCAAAAAAGGTGGTACTGATCAAGGCCTAGAATCTTGCCATATTTTTTTTCCTTCTTTGGTTCATGGGTTAAGAGCTTTTTTATCCACACAGACCAGAGATAAATAATTGGTATTACTGTGTCCATTTATTTATTTTGAAATAGTTCATCTGAAGATGTAATTTGGTCTATATACCATAAACATGGGACACACTACCTAGGAAAATAAACATACAAATAAATAACAGCCATTCTTTTCGAACAAGAATATGAATAGGCCATTCCTAGCTAACATCTACATATGATTCACTGCATACCTATTATCTGGACAGCCCTGAATTTCTTGACTGTAATCTCCCAGTGCTTAATGAGTAAGACAAAATTTTGTCTTATCATGTCCTTTCTATATGAATATTATAATAGAATTTTGCTTTTAAGCTTTGAATGTATGTGAGAAAACCTATTCCACCCAATATATGAAGTATTGTATTAATCCCATTAAAAATGACAGGAAAATTATGTAAAAATTCAATACCTAATTAAGAGTGTAAAGTGCTTTTTATTCCCTTCATCATAACATGAAATTGAATGCTAATACATAATAATTCTTACTCATTATTTGAATTAAAAATAAATATTGTCATTCCGCTTGATCTTCATTTATTTAAGAAAATTAATACATAGCAAGAAAAATGTTCAAGCAAGATGGAAAACATTTAACATTTATATTGAAAACACCTAGATGTCCAAATGAATTAGCAAATATGATTTGTGCAGTAGCATGAGGAACATATCCAGGAAATATGGCAGAGGTGTTATGTCATTTCTGTTAAGACATCTCTAATGTAAAAACAATGCTTTTATTAAAATACAACTGTTAAAAAACCTGCTACAAATATTCAGTGTGGTAGATGCCAGAATTGGAAATGGATAGAATGTCGTGGTCTGTTTTAGCTTTAAGTAAGAAGGTAAAAATACAAGTTTATCTTGTGAGTAATCTAACCTACACTAGTTTCTATTAAGTTAGTCTCTTGTGTAATATAACTCAAGCCCAAGGTTTCGTTCCAGAAGCTGACTATTATAATTTGCTGTCCATATTGTTATTTACTTGTTACTACTTGACTGCATTTCATTTTAAGACACATTACATCTTCTGTAATTAGGGAAGACAGATGCTGAAGTTTCTTGGTCTATGAAGCACAGTATATAAGATTCAAATTCTAATTCACTGTTTCAGTAATTTTTAACTATGTATTTCCTTTTTATTATCAAATTACACAGTAAATGAAAGTCACCTTAGAATTAGATTTTTAGTTGGAAGTTGGAGTTAATTAAGTAATTAATGTAATGGGGCCTCTGTGTGTTTGTGCATATACATACTTGTATTTAGATTTATATGTACACAAACGCATCTATGTATTCTTTTCACTCTGTGGTTCTTGCTAAACTAGCATATGTTATTAGTCTTTCTTGATGATGCTTGAAACCATTTGTAAAACTTATCATTATTACTAATCAATTATAAATGTGTGTTTTCTCTTCCCATCATCTTTGAAAACAAATAGTTTTCATTTATTTGTACTTGCAGCAAGCTGGCCTTACTGAAAAAAGTAATTTTTTTTCTGAAGGCTTCTGTTCTTATGTGTATTTTCTCTTTTTTTTGAGAAAAATGAGATACATCATTGTATGTTAGTTTCTGAGTTGTGGTTGGTGACCTATGGCTAGTCTCTTGAAAAATCTTTATACATCAAAATGGTAGGTGATACAATTCAAAAAAATGGAAAATACTGTTAATTTCCCAGATATCACCATCTTCAGTCAGGCTAAAAAAGGACAATGATACAGGGTTTTTTTACTGCATTGCTAGTGAACACCATATGTAGAAATACACAGACACATGCGTTTATATACATCTGTATTATTTTCGGTTGCTTTACCAAAATAACAAAAACATTCTTTTGATAGTTTTCTGTCCTTCTTGGATATGGTGACCCCCTTCTTCTAGCGTGCAGTTTTCTCATATTATTGCTATACCCTTCATAACTCTGAGACTGACTTGTGTTACATCAAAATAAATCAGTTTTAAATAGGTAGTGGACCTTATTCAAAGACCTCAGATGACAGAGAACATAATTAGTGGTTTGTGAGTTTTATTTCGTGGTGTAAAAAGCAAAATTTAAGAGGTAAGAGGCTTTTCTGTGAATAAGTATTAAGCTAGCTATACAGGCTGACCTCTGCAGTAGGACATTATACAGATTGACTTTTGCAGCAATAAAATATAAATATGTTAAAAATAGAACAAAGGATGTGAAAAAAAATGGAAAAAATCTATGAACAAAAATGTCACAATCTAATGTGAAGTGTCCTAGCAATATGTTTGTGTAGCAAAGCTGCTGTGACAAGAAAGAAAGGTAAGTACTTGCAATTGTAAATGCAGTGGTTATAGAGGTGGAAAATGTATCTTACAGAAGTAGATTAAGAAAACCTGTCTCATTTAACTGACCCAAAGTCAGAGGTACTAACGTGCTTCGCCAGCCTTCCAAAGTCCCCAAGAGGGAAAAGAACATAATGACAGTTTAGCAGAAGAACAAATGAATAAAAATGGACCATGAATGAATTTGGGCTAGAAATTTTGAGACTATCTCTAGTATTGGAAGACTGATTTTCTGTAACAGTTTTATAGTAGCATGAAATATGGCCTGAAATGGAACTTGAAAATTATATGAATGACACAAGTCAAGTGCTCGCATTACAACTATTCGTGTATTTCATGGATGAAGCGTGGCCTGCATCTCTCCCGCTGAGACACTTACGAGTAGCCTGAATAAAGGTTCTAAAATTGCTTGGGCCAAAAATTATTTTCAAACTACACAGGGCCATTTTCTAAGCTAGGTTTGCTTGCTGTCACTCTTCCTTATGACTGGTCATGTTACTGAGCAAAATGAATGCAGTTATGACCATTTATAACAAAATAAAGTGTAAGTAATCAACCCAACACTGTAAGGATTTATTTCACCCAAACAACTGGTTTAGCCACTGAACTCCACTGTTAAATTTCAGTCTTCATTCACAGTTATCCAAAACTTGCTTTTTAAATTGTCACATCATTTCTGATCACCACAGTGCTGTAGATGTATGTTATACTATACATCCAGGTATCTATCTGTGCTTCATACAGTCACTTCTATATTTTGTTCTCATTATTTTTTGTTCTTTTTATTTTTATTATTTTATTTCTCACTATTCTGAAAACATAGTAATGGAGGGAAAAAAAATTAGGCATGTCTTGACTCAGCTTCTCTGTTTGCATGACAAAGAAATTATTAATTAGTGTGTTAGCAACACAGTATTCCATTTTCCGCATTAGAACACCCAGATAGCACTTCAGTTATTTGCTTATATATTCACTCTACTTTTAGTCTCTGCTAGCCTCCATCTCTGTATAATCAGATAAAGTGAAAGAAAGTTTCCTTGTAGAATCTGGAAAAATGTGTGGAGTTTATCTTCCGCTGTTTTTATTTTCATGTGTTTCTGTTTTCCTTTGCACTCTGAAAAAATGTCAGATACTAGTAGTGATATTATATGCTTGGGCTGTTTGCCATCTTATCAGGACCAGTGCACATTTTATATTTCAGATCTGTCAACTTGGCTTTGTTTTGTAAAATGCTGGTCCCTTGATGCCTTTTTTTGCCATCTGCTAGCCTTCATAGTGTTACACTGAGTGCCTGATGGCATGCCATGGATGTTTTGTCACCATTTGCATTTCTGAAAGGCTTTCCAAACATCCATTGTAAAATACATTTGTTTGGGCTGTTTCCCATGATTATAAAAACTGATTGCATTTTCTTATTTAATAGGGATGACCTAAGGTATGGACAACGTATGTAGTTACCATCAGAAGCTCCAGTAACATGCTGTCATAGCTGTGATTCTGTTTTACTGATGTCTAAATATAACAAGATCAGGTGATAAGTGGACAGTGGTTACCTTCATTGTCTCTTCAGAGAAGTGAAGAGGAAAATTAGTATGCTGGGAGGTTATTTCCCTGTGGCAACAGTAATGAGATTGGGTGGTTGTAGTCCTAGAATGTCCTGTTTCAGCCTATCGTACTGGATCTGCAAATTTCCAGCTTACAACTAGGCCAAAAAGGATAGAAAGTTGGCAGGAGAAATAGCTCACACAAAGAAATCATGAGGCTACCCAGACAAATAAACATGTTTAAAACAGAAATGTGGTTAGTTAGAACAATCAAACAAATTTAGCTAGGCAAAATAGGGTGATCTTCATCCTAGGATATAGGATGAAGTTCCATTTCTGCTTTATAAGAAAACTGTAATTAAATGTATACTTTTTATTTAGCACCTTAAAGACAGTGATGGCGTGCAATGCAGTAACCTCATTAAGAAAAATTATTGACCTTTATGAAAACATGCCTCAGTGCTACCGAAATGTCTGAAAATGCATGTATTTCCTTGAGACAAATATCTTCTTATGTACAGGGTAAGACAGAAGGTACATTCTGGATATTCTCTATTCTCTATTCTAGTGAATCTCTAGATTCACTCTATGGCTTATCCTCAAATCAGTTTTGAATGTACTTCTACAGGCAGAAAATAATGATTGGTCAACATATTAATTCTCAAATAAATAGCATTAATAGCAAAAGCAAAGAGAGGTATAACTTTCATGATTTACTCCATCAATGTGTAGCAGGAATTGTTATAAGTAGGATAAATATCAAGATACAGTAGAATAAGTGGCACGATGTAACAAATTACTCACACCACCTTTCTCCTGAAGAAATATGAAGATGTTTGAGCACCGTTCATATACTGAAAGGCCAAACTTCTCCCACCTTTACGATCCATACTGCTGAGTGCTACGTTGGTAGCTTCTGCTGATGTTACAGGAGGAGTAGGAGCAGTTAAAACCAGGTAGTGCAGGTGGGGCAGCCTCTCTCAGAAAGAGGTATTGCTCCTCCAGCCTGTCACCCTCTCTGGGGTGACAGCAGGCTGGGAAGCACAGACATGAGCAATAGGTGAGCAACAGCTTATACAACAAGGGGGAGAGGGATTGATAGTTGTATCTACTGGAATTGCAGACAAGTAACTGCCATTTACCTATCTCCCAAACTGCCTTTCAACGGCTTTAGTGTCTGCTAAAGAGAAAACCTGATTGTTAAACGTGGGAGTGCTGCATACTGACTTAGGTTAAGGTGCAGGCTTAGAGAAACTATGGCTGACACCAATAAAAATTCTGAAAGCACACTGGTTGAGAGCTTGACTACTTAAGGCTGAAAAGGGACAGTTTGTGTTAATTACTTTGGAAGAAATGCAATCAACTTTTCTAAACCAGTCTATATTATTTTACTTAAATCTGGTGGCAGTAACATAGTTTACTGTTTTTTTGTATCCTGGAATATTTCTACAAAATAGTTTTGGTAATGCATACAAATCAGCTAAGAAAAATGAATGGTATAGATGTTTTTTATCTTGGTGAAAAAAAAAAAAGTAGAAATACTCATTCATTTTATAATGTATGCCCTTCTGAGATAATCTATATTCAGAGAACTACGATGTAATAACTTTTCTTGGTACTGAGTTTTAACCATTGTTATTGATAAAAGATAATTCTAAGGTATTAGAGCCTCTGCATTACTAAAAATTACTCAATTAATTTAGTATTTCAAAAGCTCTGGAATGGAAAATTCACTATTAAAATGTAATAGTGAATTATGAAGATATTTATGCCAGTGTTGTAATGATTTAATTTTTGTATTTTGTATTAATTCAAGCTGTAATTTAATTTTTATATTGCTTAACTACTGATTACCTTTACAAAGTCACTACTGATACTATAGAAAGACTTATATTGGCAATTGTCATTATCACTTGCATTATAGATATAGATGCATATCCAATAATTAGACACAAGAAAGCATGTCATGCTTCCCTGCAATAATATTTTCAGTCAGTAATTCTTCAATAGCAAGATCCACTCTATGCCATTTTAAGTCTCCAGCCTTAGCTTCTGGCTAAAGTGATATTGCTTGGCTCTGTATCTTCTACCTTCATCTTCCTGCTGAACTTGTGACTTTCACAGAGTTTCAAGAAAATGTGAAAAAACAGCTAAGGAAACTCGCTTTTTATTTTCTTAGTACCTATTAAAACACTTCTTAATTATTCACTGATTCTATTTCCTTTCATTTTGTGTAAAAATGGGCTATAGTTATATGTGAAACTGCTAAATCATTTGACCAACTATTTTTAAGTAATTTTAAAGCTAGCAGATTTTAATGAATTGTTTTCTTATATTTTCTCTCATTTGTAAGTTTTATATTAATTATTTTATTATTATTTTATTTGTTATTTCTAGCTTTATGTGGTGGAGATGTTAGAGGACCTAGTGGAACAATTTTATCCCCTGGCTATCCTGATCTGTATCCAAACTCACTGAATTGTACATGGACTGTGGATGTTACCCATGGAAAAGGTAAATAAATCCTTTTCTCTTTTTCCACCTTTTTTTTATAATATGTAAGTCCAGTACTGTGCTACACATACGGATCTAGGTTAGCAGCAATGAACTAGGAACTGAGTGGCTGATTTTTGTTTTTGCTTATTTTTATTGTAGTAATTCCTAGAATTCCAGAGGTAGACTAGGCCCCAATGCTTTCTGCAGAACGAAAAGTCCCTAAAAGTTTATAGTCCAAGTAACCCATAGTTGGACGAGTGCACAATAATTCATACAGGTGAAAGAGGATGAATGCTTTTTCTGTGTTGAGGAGGAAATGCCTTATCTTAGAGAGAGATTAGCTGGAAGTAGTTACTGATATTTAGACTTGGTATTGACAGAAGAGTCTGAAGTGAAGACTTAAGTCAAGATGTTATTCTTATTATGCATAAAAAAAGAAATTAAGTTAATGAGAGGGGAGTTGTTTAAAAGATTGCTTATTATGCTAAATTTTACATTATCACTAGCTGTCGACAAGGAAATGTCAGAAAGAAAAGTCCTATTCTTTTGAAGAAAAGAAACTGTTTCAGCTTACCAAGACACATTTTCAGGGTGGCAGCGTATAAATGGCAGTTTAATATGCATTTATGGATTGAATAAATAATATATATTAGAAATAAATGTAGAGGGAAAAATGATAAATAATGGAATCCTGTATAAACATTTAGGGAGGTAAGAAAGAATTATATAATGACTGATCACAGAAGCTGAGGGACAGGAGACCTTTAAGAAAAGGGTGGTTATTTGTTGAAGGCAGATTACAGGATAAAGACGTAATAGTGGTTTTAACTGTTCTCTGAGAAAGGATCTTAGTAAGAGTTATTTCAAAGAAATATAAGACACACAGGAGTGGTTAGAAAATGCTTAGGGCAGAAATGGAATTTGGGATTTCCAGGTAGCAAAATTTCCTTGAAATAGTGTGTCCTAGTTGATTTCAAGTGAAAAGTTTGGGGACTAGATGAGAAGGGATGGGTCAAATTTTTAGATTTTTGTGCGTATTTTATTTTAAATATAGGAGTGACTGCATGGTACTGTTGTGAGTGGAACGAGCTAGAGAAGCATAAGAATTTAATGTTAAGGAAAGGAAAGAAATAGAGATAGGTGTCATAAGACAAACTGAATATAAATAGGGTGAGGTGATAAGAACATAAAAAGCAAAACTGCATATGTAACACTGGAAAGAATACAGAAAAAAGAATGAAAAGGAGAAGAAGGAAGGCAACTTCAATTCTGATTTTCATCAGTTTTCTCTGTGAGGCTTGAAAAATGTGACAAAGTACGCTGATAGTATATTCCTCTAAGAAAGAGTTATTGATAACATAAAAATAAGACTTCCCTCACAGAGAATTGTGCTGATCTGTGGTCCCCTTGCTCTATTTTGTACAAATAGTGTGATAGTTCCTCATCTAGATGTTAAATCACTCTGACTGGATGTCCCATTTAAAACTCCTTAAAGTGTTAAAGTGGCAAAGTGTATCTCTCAAAATTATTGCTCCAGCTATTCCGCAGTCTCTTTTTACTACCAAATGATGCCATTGTGTCAATATAATTTGCTTGTAAGTAGCCACAGTGAAAAAGCATTCTGAAATTACTGAGCCTATATCAGATGCTACATTTGTCCTTGTTACCTCGAGGTATGATACACAGTTTTTAGAGTTACAGGAATATAAGGTACTGTGGATCTTTTGCAAGGGAGAAAGTATGTGAGAAGAATATAACTGTTCTTCTGGATAAGCAAGAAAGACTGACAGAAAGTGTAAGAAAACTGTTAGCCCTGTAGTAACTTAATTTGCACCCTATCTGAAAAGCCTTTGGATAACCAGTCTATGCTTTATAATCTGGTCATTGAAGAGAAGTAGCAGAGATAGATAAGAGTTTAGCTTCATGGAGTAACACATGACTGAAAATTATGTAAATTATACAGTAAACATGAGACCAGATGAAGCCATATTTTTCAGGATTCTTGAAAGACATTTTATTAACACTTTCATCTATCTTAAATTAAAAATGGGATTATGGACGAAAGTATGTGGAAAAAAATATTTTTTAAAAATTAAGTAGGCTTTTTGTTTTTTATCTTTTTTCTTGAACCCTCAGCTAGAGAAGTACTTAAAAATTGGGATAAATAAAAGCAGAAATTCTCAATGTGATTACATTTTATGTGAGGCTATTGAAAAAAACACCACATATAATGAGACTCCTGAGAAAACAAATATACAGAAAATATACAGGGAAAGAGAGTAGTAGTATGAACATACGCATATATAAGCACATACACACACTGATACGTGTATATATACACACACATATATCGATATAAGCACATTCTTATTTGTGTCAGTAAGTTTTATATTATCTTATGGAAATGTTACTAAGGAAAAAAACATATTAAATATGAATGCTATGTTGTAATTTGACTTGGGCATTTTGATTCATGCTGCTGAAAGGTCTTCTGGAAACAATTGAAGAGTGAGGATTTGCTGTGAGTAGGAAATAGGAAATATTATATGAACTTCTTATATTTTGTTCTTGTGGGCAAAAAGGTGTTAATACTTTAAGCTCCTCCTGTAGTACTGCATTAGGAAGATAGCTCTCCTTTTATGATAATAAGTCACAGGCTTACTTAATTTAAATTTAATCTTCTAACAGGAAAGTTCTATGTCTGAGTAAGCTAGTCCATTGGGCCACTTCTGTATTTAATGGACAAATGCATATATCTTCAGGATATGAGTCATCTCACCCTGAAAAAGTATCTAAAGTAGAGGGAATGAACCATCCTCTGAAGGTGCCTATTCATCTCTATCATCTAATGTCCAGTGGGTTTATATAGCACCCAGATGAATCATCCATGGGGAGACTGAGTGACTTACTTAAGTTTTAGATAGTTACCATTTGGGAAAATTAATCCCGTACACATAAATGGGTTATTTAAAGTGAGGGAGATAACCTTTGTTCTGGAAATCTCATTTTCTGCTCTATTTCATGTCTAATATAATTTCAACTTCAGAATCTCAAGGAGTATCTTCTACTGGCCATTAATTAGTGATATGATCTTTTAAAAATAATTAAATTTTCTTTAGCCCACCCCCCCTTTTTTTTAGACAAAATTTGGTAGTTCAATGTCAGACTGCCAAGAAAATGTATATAACTTGTAGCTCCAGAATGCTGTGGGGTATTTTTTTAAACACACATCTTTATGTTGCAGCTTCATAATGCTGTTACATAATAGCAGTCAATTAAATGCATATGTTTAGTTAAAATCTGTATTTTACATCTGGATATGTTGTATTGTTACGAAAAAGTTTCTGTGTTTGTACATACTATCTTAAATAACATAATCTGCAATATAAATATATATATTTTAATTTTACTGTTCATTTCTGTCTAAAATTATAGAATTCTGTAATGATTTTTCATTTATGTTCATGTGGACCACATTATGATTTTGAATGTCCATCAAAACGTGATATGATTTTATTGTATTTTTAAAAATTTTGTTAACTAGGGAGTGGAACATGCACTTTAAATACAGTTAAATTGGTATTATTTATGAAGAGGAAAGGAAGCATCTATCATGACAATAATTATTGTATTTTGCCTGTGGTTAGCATGCAATTCAATATATGGTGAAGTGAAATTTGTGGAGTATCAATGATATATTTTAAACCATTTACTAATAGAACAGTTAATTTACCCATCCCCCAACAGTCTGGATTGTAATATTGAGAAATGACATTAGAGTGTTATGTCTTCCTGTCTTCATTTCAGATTTTAAATATTCCCCTTATAAAGAAAGTGGCATGTGAGGCATAATGAGGAGGAATCTACCTGAATTTACCATTTAAAATTCTTCTCTGGAGAAGACACAATCTGTCACACAGCATATATTAATGTGATTAAAATATTTTCTGAAGAAAACTAAATTGTACAGCTACTGCTGGGATATACCTTGGGGTTTTGCTTAGAAATGTCATGGCAATCTTGAAAATTGATTGAAACATTCCCTTGAGTTAAACCTTGAGTTTGGTGTTTGAACAATACTCAGTGAAGCTCAGCTGTGATTCACAGGAATTCCATTATTTTGGGTTACTACCATAAAATTTTCTTTGGCATTTCTGATTTTATTGTTGCAGTATACATGCATGTGTAAAAAGGGCCAAAATTAATTTGGAGTGCAGTAAATGCCATAAATACGGCCTGAATTTCAGCCTCATTCTGTATATATCACATTTTTCTCCTAAGAGCTAACTTTTCATGTCAGATCAACACTGTCTCTTATGTAAAAACTATGATAAAAAAAATTAAACCATTTAAGAGTTTATCAATCTCAAAGCTAAATTTTTAGGCATTAGCTCAAAAGATATGTAAACTAACCTTGATTCCAAAATTCAGTGTGATTTTTGCCAATTTATTGTCACACAATCTAGGATAATAAATAGGATGCTCAAAGCAGATGAATGACTTTGCTCATATAATTATTAAATTAAGAATTTTTAAAATCCAGAATATATATCTTGGATTATCTAGTTTTGTCCTATGCATAAAACACAATCCCATCCTATAATTTCTATATCAGTGCTACTAAGCAAGGGTGTGTTTATCAGGATCTGCAAGCTACAGCAAGTCGGGGGGGGCAGGTGTGGAGCAATAAGAAGAGAAGAAGGTATCTGCTTGAAAAAGCTGAATAGTTCTCCGATCTCTTTGAAGGGAAGCACAATCTAGAGGTCTCTAAGATCCAAGGAATTACTCTTGTTAATCCCATTTGTGTCTCCATCTGACAGCAAGACTAAGCATGTATTCCAAATTAGCCAATATGTACATAGGCATGTATGGCTGGTCACACAGACTAACATGGACAGAGACAAGTGTCTTTATTGGCACACACAGAAACACCAACAGCACCGAAACAGACATGAACACCACAGGCAGCCAAATCCTATTTCTCCAGCTGGGCTGATAGCAACAGGAGTTTGCTAGGAGTTACACAGACTCACACATGCACACACACATACCCCCACAACCTTCCAGGTCCTGGCCCAGCACTTGGCCCCCAGATCCCACTCCCTCCAGGTGCTGCCTCCTTGTGACTGATGGCCCTTTTTCCAGGTGTTGGCCCCTGACCTCATCCTGCCCACCAGGCAGCCCATCTTAATGTTCACTAGTGGTCACACATGTGCTCACACTCTGGACAGAGGCCACACTTACACACTAAATAGTCAGGAACAGAGTTTAAAAAGAACAGAGGACAGGCTGTGATGGTTAGGTTCAGGGATTAGTAAGAGAGGCTTAACCCTCTCAATTTTCCTGAACTTTTTTCTCCCTTATCCACCATGATCCCTCCCTTTACCTGCCTTTGGCCCTAAACATCTCACAAAAAGTTTTGCAGTTGCCAAATACCATTTAAAAATCTCATATTAAGTTTTACATAATCTCACAAATTCCCTCAAATACTCCACAGTAAATTTCTAATTTCCATGAGACTCAAGATAATCTTCTTTCCCCCATTCTAATCAGTTACTAAGTTCTGGTTGAACTGCTACAAGATTACAGTGATACATTCAATGGCCCATCAGTCATAAACTTAAGAGTTCCGGTCTTTGTTAGTGTCTCCACTAAATACTGCTCAGTAAAGCTTCTGTATGCGTGTATATAATTTATTACTTCCCTCATTTCTTGTCTTTGCTTGCTATACTGAAATGTCCTTGACTAGGTATCCTCATAAACCAAGTGTCCTTACATTCCAGATACCCTTACAAGCTGTATTTACTAGGTGTGATTGAGTTGCATTAACATAAATGTCTAATGCCATTTGAGACAACCTCAGGGATCCAATGTATTGTAAAAAGTACTACATGAGAATTGTACCGAGAGCTTCTAAAGCTGCGTGTGAAGTCTAGGAAAGATAACCTTCAACACCTAAAGGGGCATGAGGTTCCTATGTTTAAACAGCTAAGTCAAGCACAGTATATCTAGCTTCAGTCTTGGACTTTGTTACCATTTGGGAACTTCTTGCAGGGCGGGGGGAAGTAGAAAGGGGAATTATTTGTTTGATTTTAGATTAAATTATGTCTACTATTAAAAATCTGTTGTCCATGAGAGCAGCCAAAGATCATTAATCTTCATATACTATGTTAATCTTCAATCACGAGTGCATCTTCCTAAGCATTACATCATTAGATATATTTTACAGAGCCTGATTCATTGGTTTATAACTTACACAATAAAACCGAAAATGTTATTACACTAGAGGTCTCAATAACCACTTAAGCTAGCTAATGTCTTCTCCTGTTTCTTTTTCTTGACTTTTCTGTGCATTCTACCCAAAGATCATGGTCTAACTCTTAGTTACAGAAATGCAGAAAAAGTAATTTAATTGTGTGCCTTGACTTTTAAGTCTTTTTATTGCTATTGTGTTCAAGGATATATCTTCCTTTCTAGATGGGTGATTTATATCTGATGGTTTTCAAAGAAACATACTGTTGACATATGCCACATCTTATTAAGAGACCTCCCTTTTTGGGGGAGGAGGTGCTGCTATTACTGTATGTGCCATTAGAATATAATGATGTCATTTATTTTATAACCTTTCCTTTCACTGCTGCTATACAAGAATACTAGTGACTGTAAGAAATAAGGTTCAGCTTTCCTGCTCTGCCATAAACAGTTTTTGTAATTTTGAACATACATAGTGCATCACTAGATTTTACATAAAAATGCAAGCATATGTCTTAGAATTCTATAAATCAAGCATTCATATTTTGCAGCTAAAGGCAAAAGTAAAAGATAGTGTCAAAACAAAAAGACTGGCTACAAAGGTATTTTAATACTAAAATCAGGAAAGATACTAATTTTTAGAAAAATTGGATTATCTTCATTTTCTGAACCATGATTCATAATGAAATGCCTGAATTTAATCCTTGGCTTAATTACATTGATGCTAACAGTGTGATATGTAAATGTAATTCTGTTTTTTCTAATAGGAGTGCAGTTCACCTTCTACACCTTTCATTTGGAGGATCATCATGACTACTTACTAATAACAGAGAATGGCAGTTTTACACAGCCATTAGCACGTCTGACTGGCTCAGAGCTTCCTTCACCAATCAATGCTGGTCTCTATGGAAATTTCAGGGCTCAGTTGCGCTTTATTTCAGATTTTTCAATATCATATGAAGGATTTAATATTTCTTTCTCTGGTAAGAAATACTTGCGATACCTGGCTCCTGAAAATTTTTTTTTCAGTATTTTATGTAAATAGAAAAATAAAAGTTTAAAATTGAAGTGATTTTGATGAATACATATACTAAATCATAAAATTACATAAGTTGTTTCCTAAGCACAACAATTTCAAAGCAAGCAAACCTGTGTGCCTCTGTAGACACATTTCTGCTACATGACAAATAAGATGGCAGTAAACTGTAAGACATATTATCAAGCGAGGAGAGGAAACAGAACTAGTCTAATTTCAGTTAGTGAAATTCCAGATGAGCCCAAGTGTCAATTATTTAGGCTTTTATGCTATGCCATTGTTTTCATTTGTTTTATGTACCTGAGACATTTATGGCTCTTACAAGAGTGATAAAGCGTTTTGTGTTATGCACCTTAAAAATGTTGTGAATGTATTCATTAGTCTTACTTTTTAATGTAGCATAATTGCCAATTTAACATTCACGCATTCATTTTGTTTTAAAATCTGAAATCTGTATTGATAGTCAGGTGGAAATATACAGAAATTACTAGACTGCAAGATTATAAATATGACTCATAGAAAACACGTTCTCGCTCGTACAAGCTGACTTGCTCTCTTGTTTTCAGAGTATAATCTTGAACCTTGTGAAGATCCTGGGATCCCACAATTTGGTAATAGAATAGGATTTAATTTTGGAGTGGGAGATATTCTGACATTCTCCTGTTCATCTGGATATCGTTTAGAAGGTGCATCAGAGATTATTTGTCTTGGTGGTGGCCGACGAGTATGGAGTGCACCTCTGCCAAGGTGTGTGGGTACGTGGTCAGCTGCTTTCATTTGCTTGTATGTGTAGTCATTGTCCATGGATTTGCAGATTTACAGCATGGAAAAGCATGGTAATACACCTCTTACTTTTTAATGTAATCTCATATTCTCTGTATCTCCTTAGTCAAATTTATTTAATCTTTTCTTAACATATTTAGTATTAGAACTATTGGTGGACTTCATATTCTATACTTGAAAGCATTTCAAATTGAGGGTGCAATGCTTATTCTTCCTATTTTGATTAATAGGTTAGGAAAATTGAGTATTAATTTAAAACAGCATTTACCAGTTCAGATGCCTAATAACTGACTCATTTTTGTCAATGCAAGCTTCCAAGTGATACCTGTATTACAAAATTGTGTAAGTGTAGTTAGAGCACTTAGACCAGAGTTAACTTCATAAAACTAAGTCTGTGTATGGGAGTGTGGTCAACCTGGGCTTCCTATGTAAATTACAGAACTATATCCTCAGAATACCCTCAGAATACCCTCAGAACAGTTGTTCTGGTTTTAAAATGATGGCTAAGATAACTGACAGGAAACACTTTCTGATGGTTCCTAATACTCTCCACTCATTGTAAAGGTAGTCTACATTTGTAGCTTTGACTAGAAACCTAACTTTTAATGGCTAATGTTGTCTGAGCTGAATTCTTCCTAAATGTCTTGATTTTCAGTTCTATTTAGAATTGTTAAAACACCACCAATAAAATCTCTAAAAAGTAGGATAGTTACTTAAGTGTCTGTATTTATTTTATTTATTTAAGAGTATATGCTATAGGGAAAGGTTTATCTGTCTTTATCAATGTGCATTTGAAATTTTTTTTTTCATACTAAATTATATGATAGTAAAACATAAGTTTCTTTCAGAATCTGATGTATAATAACTATCGACTGATTATGTGCTTGCTTTTACCCAGTGTTAGTTACTGTATCATAGTTTTCATGTCCAAACTATTCCTATGCTTACCTTGGTATAACAAAAGTTCTTAATTTGGCATATGCAAAAGTGACATTTATGTATCTCTCTACAGAAGAGATGGTTTAGAAGTTGAGTCAGTGTAAAGCATGAATAAAGTTATTTTTGTGAATATTTGGTGAATTTGTAACCTTAATAATAATGAATGCATGCACAGTTGTGAAGACAGGTTCAATTTTAGTAATAAATTTCTGGAAGTGTTAGTATACTGAAAATGAATTGGTAAATTATCAGTAAAGAAGAACTTGCACAGAAGCATAAATGAAAAAAACTGCTATTTAGTTTTCATGACATAGAAAATAATGTTTACAATTGTGTGTTGGGGGGGGGGAGAAAAGCTGGAACACAAGGTGTAAATTATTTTCCAGTCAACCTATTTTCTCCTTATCTTTGAAAATGGAATAGTGTCCACTAGAATTACTTAATCAGCCATTTTCCCCCTATAAATATCAAGCCTTTGCCAATTTCATTGTTAATTTATATGCCATAATAATGAAATTCGAATAACTGGAGAGCAGAAATTCCTGTTGACCACTTTTATTGGATTCAGAAATTCACATATTGTTACTGTCACTCACGTTTGGCATTTTCTGCCAAAATGATTCATGAGGTTTAATGCTTCTGATATCGTATACACTTTCACATACACACAACCTCACGTGGGAACCAACCACTGTTCATAGTATTTGTGTTCAGCTTGTCAATACAAGAATACAAGACAAGAAAGACACAGAAAAATTGGAACAAGTTTGGTGGTGTGCCACCAAGATGGTTGGAAGCTGGAGCACTGATCCAGTGCCGAAAGGTGAGAGAAACGCATCTTTTCAGCTTGGAGAAGAGACAGCTTCACCAGAACCTAATAGCAGTTCTCAACAGCTGTGAGGAGATCATTAAGAGGATGGAGCAAGGTTCTTCACAGTGGTTTATGACAGAAAGATGAAAGGAAAAGGCATAAATTGAAATAAGAGAGTTTCAGACTCAGACTGGAAATAAGCGCAACCTTTTTACAAAGAAAATGTTGAATAGTGGAACATACTGCCCAAAGAGGTTGTGCAGTCTCCATCCTTGGAGATTTTCAACATCCAGCTGGTTAAATCCCTCAGCAACCTGGTCTAACATCAGCATTGAGCCTTCGAGCAGGAGGCTGGACTAGAGACATCCTCAGGTCCCTTCCAACTTGAATTTGCCTGTGTTCTTGATCCTACATCCTCTTGATAGGTATAGTTGAGTCCCGTGGGTCATGATATTTCTTCTGTTGTCTTAGTAAATGTTCATAATGAATACCTATGCATTGTTACATATCTTAGCTCTCTACTTTCACCTGTGTCTTGGTCCTTTGATAGTGCAAGTTGCATAATTTTTAACTCATTCTATGATCTTCTCGTGTGTGAACCATTTTGGTTTCTTTAAAACAAAATCTTGTGGATATAACGATAGTTCACTACAGAACACCCTTCCAGTAGGTGATATGGGTGATATGCACTAGTCTTCGTCCTGTTTGCCAGTGGAGTCCTCCTAACAGCATTTTTGTTGACATGCATAATCAAAGCCTGTTTTGTACCCTTGATCACTTTCATACCACCATGCCAATCTTCATGTCATATTGCACATTTCTGTAACTTCATGCAACAAAAAACCCACTAGTATTCTGGATGTAGCACTGTTCTTAGATAATTTTGGATACTCTGAACACAGGAAAAATTATAGTTACACTTTTGGGCCACAGAGGCATCACACAGAATCTAGCCTTGTTTTGTATCAAAACATACCTATTGTCAGTCTTTTCAGATTTGTGGTCTTCCTTGCCTCTTGCCTCTGGAATTTCTGTACTTATCCACTTACCTATCCTTTTAAGTGAATTTCCTAAAGCTCAACACATTACTCAAATCTGAGGCCTTAGCACTATCAAACAGAAGAGACACAGACAGTACTCACATTTATATATCTTAATCTCATGTTATCATAAGGAAGCCAGCCATACTGGTGGCTTATTCAAAGTTTTTGATCTACTGTTAGTCCTTACATCTTGTGTGCAGTTGATTACTAATCATAAAACTTTTCATTTATTTTATTGATTTTTTTCTCCTGCTTATTCAGGCAAATTCCCAATTTTTCAAGAACATTCAGAAGGGTATGTTATAGGAGAAGACAAAAGAAGACAAAATAGTAGCAGGAAATTTTGCACTAGACTAATTTTTTGAGACTGCTTTATTTAGTGCTGCATATTTTTAAGAGTCTGAATAGTCTATGAAATGACTGACATAGTCTGAATGTTATAGGATCTTAATCTATGTGATGGGTTGACCCCAGCCGGCAGATGAGTACCCAACCCAGATGCTTGCTCACTCCCTGCAGTGGGATAAGGGAGAGAACAGGAAGGTCAAAAGCAAGGGAAAAAACCAAACCACAAACTTGTGGGTCAAAATAAAGACAGTTTAATAAGTGATGGGGAAAAAAAAAGAAAAAAAAAAAAAGAAAGAAATGATGCAAAGGCAGTCACTCAGACTGATGCCCAGTCGATCCCCAAGCAACAACTACTTTGAAAAAACTCCCACAGTTTTATTGCTGAGTGTGGCACTATGGCATGAACTATCTCTTCTGTCAGTTCAGGTCAGCTGTCACAGCTGTGTCCCTTCCCAGCCTCTTGCATGCTCAGTGGTGGGGCAGCATGAGGAGGCCTTGATGCTGAGCAAGCACTGTTCAGCAATAGCTAAAGCATTGGTGTGTTATCAACAATCGTTTGGCCACAAATCTAAAACACACACTGTATGGGCTACTATGAATTAACTCCATCCCAGCCAAACCCAGTACAATCTGTTAATAAATAGACATATCAAATGGTTAAAAAAAGAGTCAAGAAACTTTAAATTGCTTGCTTTGAACCTCAACATAGACAGTGAAAAAATTTCTTTTTTGATACTGAGCAATAGATTCTTTAAAAAATACTTAAAGTAAGTATGAATATTTGTTCACTTTTAGCTTTTTCTAGAAGCAAAATCTAAGCTGTTGATAGTCCTAGGTAATAAACATTTTCAACAATATATTAGGGGCATGTCTCCAGCTTGTGGTACAGAGCACAGGTGTCAGCTTAAGTTTGTGAATATGCATTTCAGTTATTTTCATAAGGTTGTAGCACCCCTGAACTGGTTCTGATGCTTTTGGAGTTCAGATGTCTCTGCCTAGTGCTCTTCATAATTTTCAGTGCAATAGTTAGCTTAAAAGAAGCATTTAAATTTCCCTGTAACTATGTTATAGACAAGGACAAACGAGCAATTATTGTTGCTTTAAAGGGAAAATAATGAAATAGAAGAAAAATAAACTTTCCTGATAATCAATAATGGGATGAAGATGATTAAAAACCTGTAAGAATACTGTCATTCCTTAGTTTCATGTTTTCTTTTCATACTTTATTAAAATAATAACCAAATGCAGTGTTCATATTCAGCACACACACTGCTTTCCTGGAATTTCCTCTATTTCTAGTGAAATGTGGAAAGTAATCTTTTTTATGCCAGGAATTCTCATGTCTTTCTTTCTCTCCCCTACCCTCTTTCATTTTCTTTTTGCCTTTCTTTTCTTCATTCCGTTATAAGGCTGCCCAATAGCCAAGTTGCATTGCCTTTCATTATAACTGTTATGTCAGAATTTCTATGTATATGTAAAGAAAATAATCTAGTCTCTTCATAGCTTCCCAACTGTGTAGGGCATTTCCTTTGGCTTCCTCAGGGCCATACAATCTTCCAGTCTGCTAAACCTTAGCTGGAAGACACTGACTTTAAAATCCATTCATTTATGTTTATTGCATACTTTTCAGATAATATTGTATATGGATCTTTGCTGGTAAAGATTTTTGCTAAGGTGATTTTTTTTTTTTCCTGTTTACCTATGTAGTTTCATTGCCAAGCTAGAGTTAAGGTACTTTTCAGGGAATACCTGGGGAGTGAAAAATAGAAATGTCTGAAAGGTTATATTGTATGAGAGAATAAATAAACTCAGTGCTGAACTGAAACACAAT